TATTAAGACAGGATCGTCATTGTTCGACTAAGGGACGTTTTCGGAAAAGGTGGAGCAGAGAGCAGTGATAAAATTTTGTGTAGACATCGGAAAACACTAACAGAGACCCATAAATTCCTTAAATCATAGTAAAGTTTTCCATTCTTTAGTGTTTAAGTGGCTTAGAAGATTTTCGGACCGAAGGGACAGTTTACAGGATGACATGCGTGAAGGAAGACCATCTTTCCGAGATTGCAGTGCTGTGAAAAATGAAGTTCGTACAGTGACGTTGCTGTATTTCCGTACATAAAATTCTTTTACACGAACAGAGGTTTAATGATTTGCAGGATCTGAGACAGGAAGTGTTAAATATTATTTCACATATGAAACCAGAACAGTTTGTGCACATTTTTGATGACTGGTTAAAGAAACATAAGAAATGCGTAGAGTTAAACGGTGATTACGTTGAGAAAAGTTAAATATATTTAGCTTTTGACGTCGAGTAATGTTAGGGATTTTCGTTTTAGTGCTCCGGGTATGAGTGTGTATCTTTTTTATATCTGATAAAAATATAACTATTTGTGCGTTGTTTGTGATTAAAACTTGCATATTAATAAACTGAAACATGAATTTTATGAAAATGATAGTTTCATATATTTTATCAATGTTTGTCAGTCATTATCAATGTTGTTCACGAACTTTACGGACACCCTCGTATAATCGACAATAAAAACCATCAATTGAAAGTACTTTCGGTTTAAACTGAAAGTAATCGAAAAATAAAGCTTTTCCTTTTAAATCATTAGAAATGATACAAAATGGTTTGTAATTGAGTTTAAAGGGTTTTTTTTTATGGCTTTGAGACTTTCGACGTCAACCACAAGTGACATCCTAACGGCTGGAAAAGTTCGAATTGAAAGCCGAAGTTTTTGAAAAAAATGATTTTTTCGGTTCATTTTATAGAAATTTGCATAAATTTTATGATTTTTCGGATAAAACTCTTAATATATTACTTTCGACGACCGTCGTCCGTAGGAAGACCTACTCGTTGCTTTGCAACGAGCTTTGCTGTAGTTGAATTTATGTTTCTTTCTTTTAATCTTCAATCTCATTTGTCAAAATTAATGTTTATTACACGCAAATTTGGTTGCTAAAATTTGTTCAATGCAATCTTCAAATACAAGTAGAAATTATGTTAGTAAAATAAGTTACATGCTATTCATAATTATCAAGAAAACAGATTTACTTATACATGAGTGTAAAACAATGATCTTATTAGCTATGATTTCATTTCTTAACATTTTAACCTGATTTAAATATCAGTTATCTACAAAAACATGCCTAATTAGAAAAATAATTATGTCGCTTACAAATTTACTATTGTAATATCTAACTATAACTTAACGAAAAAAAAACTTTTAGACTTACTATACACACATGGTTTTGTAAATATATTTACCGATATTTATGAAGTTAAAGAGTTAAAGTTTCGATATGAACAGAATGTAATGTTGGATCAAATCTCAATGTCGCTCCATTCATAAATTTTTCAGCAGTAAAAGCGTCTCGAATAGATTGCAACAAATGTTAAAAAAAGTTTTTTTCCTATATAAAAAGAAATCAAAACACTTCTCACAAAGAAATGCATGGATCTTCTTTCATACGAAATCATAGCATGAAAAAAATCAATTAACTTCCGTAAACGATTTTGTTTTAAATTTCACACATAGAATGAAGATTTCAAAAAAGAACTGAGACGTATGGGAAAGTGACCATAGAAGCTAATACCTTCGAGTTGCGAGTCAGCTTTTTTAGACCATTACATTTTCGACATGACAAAATGAATTAGAGAAAAACAGTTGTCCCTCTAAAAAATTAACTTCCATAACGGTAATTCAGGAAAGATTTTGCGTTAAAGTATAAATTTTTCTATCAATTTGGATCGAAATGCTTTATAGTTTTGCTTAACATCCTAAAACAAACGTTAACAATTGCCGAGAATTTTTACTTTTATTGCTGGAATTTAACTGCAGTAACGATTAATTTCCGTAACGATATTTTTTCCCGAAAATTTAACTTAATATCGGATTTATGTGAGACTTCATAAATCATACTTAAGCTTTCTTTACTGAACATCAGAAAACGAAAAAGTGGTCAAATTCAGCTTTATTTAAAAAAGAATAAGACTTGATCAAGCATTAACTTCCGTAACATTACCTTAAAATCAATGGTATATTGAAATTATTGCAAAAAGTTAGTGATACCAGATTTGAGGACAATTCTTTTTTTCAAGTTCACTGATATGTCCTTTATACGAAAGCCCAGAAGGCTCATTCGGGATTCGAGTTTCGAAATACGAGATTCGATATTCGAGATTCAGAATTCGAGTTTCGAGATTCAAGATCCAAACTAACCAATCAAAAGGCGGATTCAATAAATGATTACTCCCCTTTACTAAGTTTTTACTATCAAGAAATCATTGAATATATTTATAACAAATGTGTCATTTGCTTACATGTAAATAATAATGCAAGAAAAAATGTTATATGTTTCAAAACAAATTAAAAATGAGTTCTGGGCAACGTTTTGAAAAATATGTATAAAATCTTATTTTCCTCATTAAAGAAAACAATAGATACGTATATAGAATATTATATGGCCTTATCGTTGAATTAAAAATTTAGTAGATCAATAATTTATTCGATAAGCTCATTGATAAGGGAGAAAATTATTAATGATATGAAACACTAAGGATCGTCTATACACTGCACAGTAATTTAATTGAATATTGCAGCCCATGATATTCTTGCTTTGCTTTCTCTGCCTTTTCAATACCATTATACTGAAACTGTCTTCCAGACAGCTCTGAGAATTGAAAACACCAATTATAACTTTACTAATTTATTGAGAAACAAGATCATAATAATACAACACACACAATGTTGGATGGAAATGGCCGCAAATTTTGTAGGAGTCAAGGGAGACAACTAGGATACGATAAACAAACGGGCAAACTAGTGGCCTCGCTTAGATGCGAGTGCCATGGAACCCCATGCCTGACACACGCATGATGGCTAGGCACACAAGCTGCACAGCTTTTACACCCTGCCTCTGGCTTGCTACCTGGTTTAGAATTTTAACACCAACCAGCCTGTAGCCTCTCCTACTTTTATATAGGTAGAGGGGGTCTGAGCACTGAAATGCTGCAGATCCCAAGCAATTTACATTTATTCTACACATTTCCTCAATGGCATTTAACTTCCATGTTAAAACACAGCCATGAGACCCCCCTCATGCTTTGATGCAGATGGGCAGAGACAAACAGGTTAAGCATGCACAAGGATGATGTCTCCCTTGACCCCGCCACTAACATCGATATGATGTTCCCCACAACAATTTGCACCAAAATTAATATTTATATATGTAGCAATCCTAAACTAGGAAATAACAGGTCATCGCGTCATCGCAACTGAAATCTGACTAAACAAACAAAGGATATTACTGAGGAGGGAAAATTTTGCCCTTTCCCCCTAAAATGAATTCCAAACCACCCTGGATATTATTTAAATAAGCCTTATTCCCCCTTTCAGATAAATGAGTTCCATCATATCTACATAAACTGCTTTGATGAACATTGATATTTTTGTCATGAAAAATGCAAGCCCCATTAACTTCGGATGTAATGAATTTTCTAATGACTTTATTCACCTTAGGCCGTTTTAAATCAATCTTAGCCCCACCCTTGCCAAGAGGTGCGCCATGCCAATAAAGACGGGGAAGCATTGTTGACCAAATGAGCAAAGTCTTAGGAAGCAATACATTATAACGATACGAACTACATTGAATTTCATGTGAAAATCTAAGTGCAGTATTGCCAGACGTTGTTAAATCATTTGACCCTGCGTGAATGACTAGTACATCTGGGTGTGGTTGATGTTTGAGTTCATCTGTTAACACTTTGTCAAGATCTTCCCATTTCAGCCCTCTAATTCCCTTCCAAGTGATGTCCATCCCAAGATTAAGGTTCTTTCCACCCGGTCTCCTCCCTGCCTCCTCACCAGCCCAATAAGGTGTTGAAGATCCCACTATCCAAATCGTCTTGAAACCTGGAATACTTTGGCAAAATTAGCCTGTATTCCATTTAACAATGCTTACATGTTATAATCTTATGTAGTTTCTGAAAGCTTTTGACTCCCACCGGTCCAAAGATTTTATTTCTGAATCTGGAAACCCCTGTTTAGCAAGATCTGTAGCCCTGCCTATTCTAAAGCTATGTGGTCTAAAGTGTCCTTGAATGTTCATGAATTGAAGAGCTTTTTGAAGCACGTAGTTGAATTGGTATCTTGTTACACCCTTATTGTCGACATGAATAAAGCATAAAAGGGAACCTTCATTAGGGCGCAGCCGTAAAAACTTGAGTACCCACTGTACTGGGCAAATATCCGAATTTATCTGTTTGGAAATATTCAATGTTGTCGTATTTCCCATTTGGTCAGTTTTGGACCTGGGAATTGAGATGCTGACCTTGCTTCTAGTAAACGTGATGTGTGCCCTATGGATATTCAAAACTTCACTTACTCTAAGCAAGCCGTGATATGCAATTGAGAAAACTGTGGAAACTAACACTGCCTCTTAAGATGATCTACATACTGATGGCAATGCTGATACTACACGCTCAAAGGTGGATATAGTTAATGGGATTCGAGAATCTAAAGTGATACCTCTTTTTTTGCGGAGACCCTGCAAGGCTTTTTTGACAATGAATGATTGAGTGTTATCTTGTATGCCTCTTAATTTGTGTATATATGATAATGCGCTAATGTACAATGCAGCTGTTCTATAAGCTGTACCTGAAATAGAAAGGTGGGCAATGAAATTAAGCAAAAGATCAACAGGAATGGGGAAATACAATGTGGTCCCACAATTATTCAGGAATTTTTTGAAGTTAGTGAGAGCCCCCTGGTAAGCTTTGTATGTGTTTGCTGATAGTGAACCCTGTATAAGTCTGTTTGCGTCCCTTGTTAAATTTCCCACATATTCTTGGGAAGTGGTGTTGGCCATGGATCTGCTGCCGGTGCTAGCCGTCGGAATTTGCCCCACTGTGAACGAGAGATAGAATCCGCAATAAAATTTGATTTTGAAGGTATGTATTTTGCTTTAATCAAAATATTGTGTTTGAGACAAGTGAGAACCAGTTTTCTTACAATTTTCATGACCCTTTCTGACTTTGATGTTGTCGAGTTGATGACATGTACCACCGCCATATTGTCAATGTAAAACAAAATTCTATTGTTGGAGAATTGATGTTTCCACAATTCAATAGCTACATGGACCGGGAAAAGCTCTAAAAAGGTCATGTCACGGGTTATGCCTTGTACAAACCAGGAAATGGGCCTGCAAAATATATACCAAAGCCCCCCGTATCTCCCCCCTGCACTATCAGTGTAGAGTTGTAGAGTCTCATTATTCACCCATATACCTTCGGTAATGACTGAAATGCCATTAAATGATTGGAGGAAGTCAAGCCAGACTTTGAGGTCTGCTTTCATTTCTAAAGTTACCCGGGTATGGTGATGTGGTTTGTTAAGGCCAATTGTTGCATCAATCAAACGTCGACAGAAAGCTCTACCTGGAACTATAACTCTACATGCAAAATTTAGCAAACCCAATAAAGACTGAAGTTGCTTAAGAGTAACCTTCTTAAGTGCCATAATGTCGAGAATCTTTTGTTTGATTTCATCAATTTTTACCAACGGTAACCTCATGATCATTTCCACCGTATTAAACTCAATGCCCAAGAACGTAAGAACCTGCGTTGGATATACGGTTTTCTCGTTTGCAATAGGGACCCCTAGATCGTTGCACAGATAAAGAAAAGTGTCTAACGTATTTTTGCAAATGGAAAGTTCTTTGCCACAGAAAAGAAAGTCATCTAGATAATGCAGGATTGAGGCATTTTTTGAGCAATCCTGTATAAGCCAATGCAGAAAGCCAGCAAACCTGTCCCAAATTGCAAAACTTATTTTACAACCGAAAGGTAGTATCTTGTCGTAATAAAAACCATCATTGAAGTGATAACCTAACAAGTCGAAATCAGTGCTGTTCACTGGTAGCAACCTAAAGGCTGATTTAATGTCCGACTTCGCCAGAAAAGCCCCCCGACCTAATTTTGCAATAATGGCGGCAGCATCATCTATGGTTGAATAGGTTACTGAGCTCTGTTCTGTGTCAATGAAATCATTTATTGAAGCAGATTCTGGATACAACAAATGGTGAATTAGGCGGTAGTCACCGTCTTTTTTAGGTACAAGACCTAAAGGAGAAACTTGTAATGTTGGAAAAGGTGGTTCTTTGAAGGGACCCGCAACCCTCCCCAATGAGACTTCTTTGTAAATCTTTTGCTCTGCAACTGGATATTGTTTGTCCAAACTTGTAAGATTCTTAGAAAACCTGGGTGATCTAGGGCCAAAATACTGTAATTTAAAACCATGTTGAAAACCTTCCCTTAAGAATTGATGATCAGAATAATTTTGTGTATGGAAAAAAATTTTGTCTAGTTTAATTGGGGTCTTGCCCAGTTTATACAGCTGACTTGGTGGAACAGGTTGTGGCCGGATGCTTGCCTCCGCACCTCCTGCAGACGTGCTTGAATCTGCATCTGGGGAAGAAATTGCACTTTTTACCATGATTGAAATGATAGCAATACTGGGTAGCAGCGGATGTGCTGCTCTCATCTAAATTTTGTTTAGTATTGTTGAAATGATTTTGACTGCCAAAAGAATGTGAACTTTGGTTGGTCACATACAATAGCCAAAATTCTTGACTTATAACCCCCCAGGAGGATTCGGGATTGCTAGCTTTGCGTAGCCGATATTGTTCATCGTATTTGAACCAGCCCTGTGATCTAGAGGCAGCTAGTCTGATATCTCTCATGTATTTTAAAAACTCTTGGGCCCTAGTGCGATATTTCTCTAACATAACACTCATGTAAATCATAAAAGCATTTGTCCATTTTTCAATTGACAAATATGAACCAACCTTTGACCGGACAATACAAAATTTCCCATCTCTAATTTTAATTTCCCCTTGTCCTCCCAAACTCATTAATCTCTTTGGCTGTTTTTAACAGCAGACCTAACTCGATAAACTGTCCATCCCAAATTTTTTGTTTTAACTTCAAAGGGATGTGTTGACCTACATTATCAAAACAGCTAAGGTCTGGGACAGGAGTGAAATCAGAAAGATTTACATCAAGGGAGAAATCTGAATCAACATTACCAATGATTGGTGGTGCGAATTCCCCCAAATCACTGTCAGGTGAAGCATCACTCCCTGCAGTCTCTGGTTCGGCATGGTGGGGGGGGGGGATGATCGTTCCTTTGCGCTCCAGACCTTTGCAGCCTGGGAGAATGGCGAGGCTTTTTGTGCCCTCTGCCCCTGGATGGCGACACCATCTCCCCTCTGATATCTCTCTTCCTTTTTGGTGGCATAGTGCTAAGGATTGGACTGGATTTTTTGTTTGTAACTTTTACTAATGACCAAACTCACTGGATGTTGAAGAGGAAGAGGAAGTTGCTATACTAGTTAACTCATCCTGAAGCTGACTTTCCCATGAACTAGATAACTTGTACCAAGTTGTGTCTTATTGATTAATGCTATCCAAACAATTAAATTAGATTATCTCATATTCATTTCAATAATCTATATTAATTAAGGATACAATTCATTACATTTAAGTGTGTATTTGTGCAGTTAGACTGATCTACAATTTGATATCGAATAAAATAAATTCCAGTCTGTATTGTATATATATAATTTTTAATTAATTCAAGTATGCAAAGCCTTAGACCGAGATAAGTAATTGAAAACTTAATTCTTATGTATTTCTCCTATTGGGAAACAGTGGCGTATATTCCTTTATGCTAATGTGTAGGCTAATGTGAAGTCACAGATTTCACCTAAAGCGCATCATTGCCGAATTGCGGATAGGCAAGGAGGGAGTCGCCCCTCTCAATAGAAGGGGGGGAGGGAGGGAGTCGTAGGACCACTTTCTGCGATCTTGGAGACATCTATCATTTTCATTTTCCCAGTGAATATAATTATAAATCATTTAAACATATTTTTATGATACGGAAATTAAAATCTTCATGACCACTCTTAATAAAATTGAGATATATTAAAATCCTTTCACAGTGCTTGGAAATTATGGAAACTTCTTTTCAGATTATTCTTTACAGATTAATCTAAATATTCTAAATATAATTTTTAAAATGTGTTTTTGCTTAACTTCCTATTAACCCAAACATATTTCCTAATTTTTTTTTCGCTGTCCTAATCGTACACTCCAGGTTGCTGTCATTTTTAATAGTCTGATATCGACGTCAATGTAACGTTTCAATTTTAGATTTATATCAGGAGTTTTGTATGCTGTAAAAATTGGAAAGGCATAAAAGTATGGATGGCTAAAAATACTTTTATTGCATTTGATGAAAAAATATTCTAATAACTGGTAAATAAATACGATTTATGATCAACTTTCTCCATTTTTCAGCAAAATACATGTATAAATAAATATTTATTTTACATCAAGAAAATGATGTGTAGGCAACATATGGAATATATACGCCATTGGAAAAGCACGTCCGCGATTTTTCTTTATCACTACTACAATGTCTTTTAAGATTCCCTGGATACACTAAAAAGGTGTATAGAGGGTCCATTGTTATGTTAAAATTTTTTTTTATCATTTATATTAAATACTTTTATATCTTTTTTCTCTATGGCCATTAAATCATGTATTGGAACTTGTGTATTGATTGGTTATGTATCTTGCGAGACCCGATAAGTAAGTAATTATTGTCATCTCCCTCGGGAGATGACACATTAAGTTTGTTATCCGGAAGTGAAGTCCTAGTGTAAGCTGCCATCGATAAGCAGGTGGTCTGGCAAATGACCTGATGATGATATAGAGATGTAAACAAAATTGAGCGTTCTGTCTTATTATTACAAAATGGTCCATCTTAAAGTAAAACTACACAGAGTTCATTAAGGGTAATAGAGGTAGATTCACTTGGGTGGTGGTGGTCTTTAAAATACACATAAACATTGTATCTAGGCTATTGTGTAAAATGATGGTCAGCGCGCGGGGATCAAAATGAAGAAAACAGTGAAAACATTCACGTTAAATGCATATATACAATGGCAAAAACTTAACTTTTATGTGTACTTAATAGTCAATCGATAATTACTGCCGTATATACATTGTATGTAAAATAAAACAGAACTTATTCAAAAAAATAAAATTCGAAGAAATTTTTTTTTACCTAAAAGCACAATTTAAGCAGAAACATAAATGTCTCTGATTTAAGTAACTCAGTGCTGCAGGCATTGGAATAAAGATAATTAAGAATTATTACGAGTATTTTCTCGGATGTCTGCACTATTCTTTTTTATGATTATTTAAATTTACCCCTGCAGAAAAGTTTTAGGAAAAACACAATTTTCTTTACTTGGCTCAGAGTTTTTAAGGATTAAAAAATAAAGCAACTTATCATTATCTTTATGCAATTCTAATTTGCGTTTTTTTTTGCTAATAGAAAAGATTAAAAAAGTCACTCCTCGTATTCTTGAAATAAAGCCAAAATTATAAAATGTGTGTCTCATGGAACAGCCTATAAAATCGATGTTGGTAGACTGGGGTTCTTTTCATTGTGCAAATGCTTAATTTTAAATGGTAACTTTTCAATTTTATAACCTTTCTATGCATGCTATTTTCCCAGGAGCGTATACATGTACGCGTACTTGTATTATACATAATATAGCGTTAAAACATGAATCTACATGGGCAGCAGAAGGGTATGAGACAGGAGAGTCTCAATTTTTCCCTTGATATTCCCAGTGGCTCGATGGCCAAGTCACTTCAGAGGATACGATTAAGGAAAATAAGGAAAATCTTTGGAAATTAATTGAGGTTCGGATTACATTAAGACGACTAAGAACTAAAGTCAAAGGGAAGGCTAAGTTTTTATATCCATCTTCATACGGAAAAATTGTTATCTAATTTTTACGAATATTTCTCTGTGGTTAGATTTTTACAGACATTGTACAAACAATATTTAAAATGAATAAAGCATATTTACAACAGGTAAAATAATACAGGCACGTAGCATCAGGAGGGTCGGACCCTTCCACTTTTTTTTCCCAAACATTGAAAATATTCATTGAAAGGCACGCCCTTGCCCCATCTTCCATCTTTTGTTGCAGTATCGTACGTCAAATCATCCCATGGGAATGAATTATAATACAAAATATGTTTGATGGAAAAGTTGTAATCCCCCCTTCCAAAAAATGAAAATGTTGAGTTTGGACAGACCCTTTTTCCCCTTGTCAAAGATTGTTCAGGTAAGTCGTCGATTTTCTTTCTCCCCCCCCCCCTTTTTTCAAAAGCGATACTACTGCCTGTAAAAGCTGAAAAAATGATATAACATTCCACTGTTTATTCTGTGACATTCATGAAGCCAAAGAGATGATATGTCAGGCTTTCTGGAAAGCCAAACTTGTCGAATATATAATTATTCTGCCCATGCATCGCAAGATTGACACTGAATGTTGATAACCGACCATTTGTCTACCGTTGTAATAAAATAAACAACATACCCATATGACCCTGGGCTCGTGCTCCCCCCCCCCTCCTTCCCCTTATATTTTTACCGATAAACCCGTTGAACCCTTTGAAACCCGTATTACTAATTATCATTAATCGCTAGTCACTTGTTTTATTGCACACTTAACTTTGAAAACCCGTATTAGTCACTGGTCACTTTCTAATACATTGTCACGAACTATCCACTTTGATACCCGTAGTACTTAATTAATTACATGTATTATTAATCACTAGTCACTTGTTTTATTGCACACTTATAATTCTCATCGACTAACCCCCCCCCCCCATTTATCTTTGCATCCCATTAATAATATTTATTATGATGACATTAAACCTATAAACAAAGTAGATAATACGATATAAATATTTTTGATATAAACCTATTACAATATTCAAAAAGTTTTAATATAAATTTAAGCATATTTTGCCGACCAAAAACCCAATTTTTTTTTTATTTCGTTCTGATATATATAAAACTCTTTCTTGCATTGTAATATAATCAAATGACCTCTTCGGTTTGAATATATTCAACGATTTCTTGAAGGTCAAAACTTAGCAAAGGGGAGTAATTGAATCTCAAACCGCCTTTTGATTGGTTAGTTTGGATCTTGGATCTCGAAACTCGAATTTCGAATCTCGAATTTCGAATCTCGTATTTCGAAACTCGAATCTCGAATGAGCCTTCTGGGCTTTCGTACCTTTAAAGAATTATGACGTTCATTTTGCTATTTGAAACAATTATTTTTTTCATATTTTATACCCTGAATTAGTCCTTTTATCGTAGAATGACTGATATACGTACATGTACTTCCAGAACCATTACAAACATAAATGTTATTTTCGGTATAGCATAGACATAATATACCCAGCATTGAATCAGAACAGGATCAAAATAATTTAAAGCTGAACACAATTCGTAAAAAGGAGATTATTCTGCATTTTCCGTTAGCTGTACATCCTTTCACTTAATGGTCTCGATTGCGTGTAATAAGTTTTCATAGGTGTGGATGGACGTATTCTACATAGCTATTGTGAAACTCTCGATAGCGACAAAAGTAAATGTGTTTCTTCAACGGCAGGAGAGAAAGTTACCAAATAACCTTACATTGGTTGCGTAGGTAAGTGCAGTACAAACAAACACAAATACATGTCAACTGCAATACAATGTAAACAACGGTAGTGTAAGACAACCAATAGAAAAATGCGTTGTCTATTCCACGCAGGTACCTGCGAGAAAAGGGCAGTCGGACCTAACGAATGCTAAAGGTATATTTCATTGCTGATATTGGAGATGGGAAAACTAATATGGCGTACGCCCATTTACGAGTCGTGTTCTGCTTTAAATACTTCATCTTGGTGTATAAGCTACAGAAATGATTATTATATAACTTTCAAATTGATATTAACATTATTTGATTGAATTATCGTTGCATCAAAACTCAGGGATAATAGTGATGACGTAAATTAACTTCCTTCTTTCTTTATATCATTGCTGTTGATAAATCTCTACAAACAATAAATGTTCATTTTGGAATACATCATGAACATTAAGAAAGATGTAAATCTTTTGCATCAGAGCTGGTGATGTAGAAGGAACGGGGTTTGTAGCGAGATATTAAATATAGATATAAAATAAATTGGATGATTGTTACAAAACCAAGTGCAACAGTGCTGTAAAGAATGGCCTTTTGAAATCCTTCTGTAATCTTTGGTCGAGGTAAAATTATAAGATGTATCTGCTAAAAAGAAATCTTTCCAATGCTTAAGATTCATTCGGAAAAAAAAAACTGAAGATCACTAAAATGTTTTAAAATCATATTACAAGAAATAAACAAATATCTAATAATATGCATCGCATGTTG